TAAGGAATTATACATTTGAGATGTGGATCATAGAAGTTGACCTTGTTTCCATTGTCCATGCCTCACCAACCCAATGTAATATTATTTCTAAAAACCAAATGGTGGCTTCTTGTTTATGTTTTATTGAAATTACAAGTCAAAAAAATTTGTTATAACATGACTAAGAACTGAAGGTATAACTTTGAACAGACCATTCTTTTCTGTTTTCTTAATAAACTATAGTTGAACTTTTGCGAGGTAATAAATTAAATCTCAAACAATGTGTGTACAAAGAATCACACTCCTTGTTTAGAAAAGTCATGTGGTTTTACTAGTAGCAAATGAAAATTTCCTTCGATTTTAATAGTAAAAATTGAAATGTTTCACAAAAAAATTACATAGCTACAGCAGTAGACATGTCGATCCTGTGAAATTACGGATGACTGTTATCACCAATTAAAACACGCTCTCCCAAATTTAATTGGTGACAATATTACAGTGGGGAAAATTTCCTGATGTTCTACTACTTCTCTTCTACATCCTCTGAGTACCATCTAAGATCTGTGAAACTGATGCACTTGCTAAACAAGAAAATTGACATTGAAAGTGATGAGAGGAGTGGTGAGAGCAAGTAATCCTTGCTGTAATGAGTTAGATTCATCATTAAGATTTTGAACATCTTGAGCTTCTGATGAGGTTTCATTTAAAGAAATACCTTCAAGCAATGCTCCTTTTTTTACTTTCTCCTCATAAATTATTTATTTTTAGTATGAGTTTGAGGACCAACAGTATTTAAAGATGATGGATTTGATGATGATGTTTCTAGACTTAGAATAGGGCTACAAAAATAACAATCATGATTGTTGTGCTCTTTTAATTCTATAGTTTTCCTGTTTAATAATAGTATTCTCAAACCAAAAAGTTAATTATTTTTAATTATGACAAAATAATTTCTTGCCACAAAACATTTCATCAGGTATCATTTAATCATGACATCATCAATGACACATTTTTGACATTTAACTTTAGTAATTGTCAATTAGTCATCATTTATCATTCTATTTTATTTTATTTTATTGGACAAAATCATGTTATTTGTAATACTTTAAGAAGTATAAATATGTTTGAAATCTTCTTTAGTGAAAAAAATTAATCAATAAAATTAAATAATTGATCTTATAACACTTTGGTAATAAAAATAACACTTTCATTAATTGATAAATCTGGCATGATTGATTGATTTCTGATGATTAATAGTTTGGCCAACATTTAATTATTAGTTAGGAACCCCTTTATTAGTTTTACTATATTGCTTGTAGGGACGCCTCAAGTAGTGTTGTATATGGTGATTTTGGTTTAGTTTGAACATTATTTGGTGACTCTCCAATAAAGTAGAGTTTCTATTCGTAATACAAATTTTTGTTCAAACTATCCAAATCATTCGTTATTCGAATTGTTATCATTCATTTATTATTCAAATTGTATCATTCGTTTATCATTCAAATTGTTATCATCATTCGTTTATTATTCAAATTGTCATCATTTGTTTATTCGAATATTTGTTTTGCTTGAATTATTCATTTTATTTCGTTTATTCATTTTATTATTCAAATTGTTGTCATTCGTTTATTCACACACTATTTGTTTATTCATTTTATTTTATTCAAACTATTTGAATTATTATTATTCGTTTATTTGTTTTATTTAAATTATCAATTGAATTATTTTATTTTATTTGTTTATTTGAATTATTTGTTTATTTGTCTTATTTGAATTATCAAATTATCGAATTATTTGTTATTTATTTTATTTGAATAAACCTTCAATGTAATTCAAATACTCAAATTCATAGCAAGTAAAACAAATAATTCAAATAAACCCTTATTTGAATAGAAACTCTAACCAAGCAGTATATTTGTATGTAGTGATTTTAATTTAGTTTCATATTTGATGATTCCAATAACTCTGATCGCATGCTTGCAATATTTATTACAGTTTTATGACTTTAGGATGTCAATGTTGAATTGTTGTAGTTCAGGCAAAATTTAAATTTTTTTTATTAATATATTTGTGATGTTGTTGTATGTGAAATTGAAATATTATGGAGTGGGGTGAAATTCTGATTGGCTAATTTGAATTTCACACTATTGTGAGATTGTAAACCGTGGACCAACCAATTGACCGTTAATATTGACCAATTAGAACGAACTTACTACGGAGGTCATGTGATGCGCTGAATATTACATCACGATTAACAATCATCTTTCTATATTTATTGCAACGGTTGCACGTCATGTTACACGTGTAGATCATTACATCATTTCTATTTTTAACTTATTTTATGACATAATTATTTACTTCGAATTATTAATCAAATTATTTGTAATAATGACTCATAGGATTAGTAATTATGAGTCATAGAATTAGTAATTAGCAATTAGTAAGCTAGTATTACAGAAAATAGGATTAATAAGCATATTTTATTGGACAAAGCATTGTAAAGGTCATGTTATTTGTGATACCTCAAGAAGTATAAAAGAGCTTGGTTTTAGACCAAGTGAGAATCATCATGTTCATGAAACATTAATAATAATTGAATAAATAATTTTTTTTTTTCCTCTTTCCCCCCCCCCCCGTTGTTAATAATTAAATAAACACATTTTACCTTATTACGAATCTTTGCATAGTTAATAGGAAAAGCCATTGTGAATTGTTCCATGGTCCTCTCTTAGGATTAGTGGTTGGCCACTAATCATTAGTTAGAACCCCCCATTTGATTGTTCTATGCTGCTTGTAGGGACGCCTCAAGTGGTATAGTTGTAAATATTTCTTGTATATATTTTTTTTTATTTATCATTTTTAGGCCAGCAGTACTTCCATTAGTACTGTAGAGAGAGATTGCACAAGAGAGAGAGAGAGATTTGAGTAGGCTCTGAGCTGTGTGCGGATACAGAGGCCTGGTATAGAGTATTGAGAACCCTGAGCTGTGTGCGGATACAGGGAGATTTATATATTGGACTTTTTTTTTTTTATTTATTTTATCTTATATATTTATTGGACACACCCGAGCTGTAATTGAATTTACACACTTGCACTATGTAAATTTGAATTTCATGTATGTGAATCGCGAATTCACATAATTTCATTTTCATGTACAAAAATGTGATACATATTTGTGGCTGAAAAAAAAATTTTTTTGACAGATTATACATAAAACCACAATGGAAAACATTTTGGATGAAAATAAACATCACAACGATACTTCTACTGACAAAAATGATGAATATTCTGATGAAAGAAAGGTGTATTATGGGGAATGTTCAACCTGCAATAGTTATAATACCTATTATTCATGTTGTCAATCATGTGATCCAAAGCTGTTAACTGAAGGGTGGACTAGTGGGAATGAAACATTAGATGAATTGATTAAAATTACACAACTTAAAGCAACTGAGTATAACAATTATAAGCATCTTCAATGAATGCTACATGACTATACATGCAGCCCAAAGTATTTTGACACTGTCATAAAGGGGGGTTACACATGTAGTAAAGGGGTGTTACACTTATGTTTTTAATAGTGAATGCTGTAATTAATTTCTACTTTCTATCATCAAAATTGGAATAATTTTGACCATCAAAATCACCAAACCAATTTGGGCTGCATGTATATACATGACCTTTAGAATTTGCTCTTAAAACTACCCCAGCAGCAATGCCACCTCTTAAATCAGAAACTTGACTTTTTAGCATTCCTTTTTTATTTAGTTCCATTTTATCACACATGTGACAAACTATTTCACTTCCTTCTGCACTTTTAGAGCAAATATAACTGGGCATGTTATCATCTTTTCAAGAAAAATGTTTATTCTGCTCACCACTTTTAATTTGTTGATGACAATTACAACATTTGGAACATTTATGTCCTCGACTGTCTTCATAAGCAGTAACATCTGTCCAACATGATTTTACATTGAGGGCACCATATAGTAATCCTATCTCACCTCCCACTCCCTTTTTGATTAATAATTCTTGTTCTGAAAGGTCAATCAAAATTTTCTTTATTTTTAACCTTTTGTAAGGTTTTTCTAAAAATCACCTTTTTATTTCTTTCTCAATCAGCAGTTTTTTCATCTAATTCTTTTTGAATTAGATTTTGTGAACAATCTCAACAACAGAATTCTTTATGTTCTCTATTTTCTTCATCTCACCAATTAATTTCTAAACCTTCTTTTATATTGTGACAATTAAAACATTCTTTTTTGGTCATGGTTTTTTTATTTAAACTAACTTTTTATAAGAAGTTTTAAATCAGTATTCAATCATGGAAGAGAACTCTTTAAATCATGGTTGGAGTAGAACATTAGTATTGGTTTTAGAAATCTAGTTACTCATCGAGGAAATGCCAAAAAGGAAAAGATAAAATAGATAATAAATTTGTTCCTATTACTTCTCTTCTAGAGTTCTTGGCTTTTTATTAGGTGATAATGCATCATCATGATGTTTTCTCTATCTAACACTTATTATTTTTCTTTCTTCGTGGTAAATTTCATAGGTAATCTTTTCTTTTCTTTGATAAGCTTCCAGTGTCTGAGTATCATTTATTTTGAAAATGTAAGGAGCAATTTTTTCACCTTGTTCCTTTTTTAGAATACTTCTAAAGATGCTGTAATTTTTGGGTTCCATAGTTGATCTGATGTAAATTAACTTCATATTAACTATTTTTGTATAGAGGTAGTTTATATACTACTTAACAAAAAACAAAGATAATAGATGGGAGGTTTTAATAATCACATTACTAAATTTGATCCCTGAAATTCTTGATAATACCAATGTTCACTTTGTCTGGCTTTGTTGCAGCATGCCCCATTTAAATTATTACGTGTAACAATAAAAAATGGGGTATGTAGATCAATTTCATTCTACACGCAAATTACTTTAAAAAAATATCCGGCCTACAATTTCCCATGTTTTTATTAAGAAAACAGGGTCTGATATCTTCACAAGTTATAATCTACATGTCACAGGATGGTATTATGTAAAAAACACAAATTTGGTCAAAAGAGCTCGGAGGTGGTTTTTGCTGTAGACAGTCCCATATACATTTATTATTTAAATTATAATTGATGTTTCATTAATGGCTAACATAAAGAGAGACATTCATTAACGGTTACGGAGAAAAATTATGATATAATTTATTGTTTTTACAATTGATAATTAATTATAAAGAAATTTTTATACATTTAAAAAAAAAATTTTTTAGCGAGATAATAATAATATCACCGATATCATCATTATCGCCTCCTGATTAAACAAATTGTTGGTGGAAATTTGAAAGCAAAAAATAAATCAAGAAAAAATTAATAAATTAAAAAAATAAAATTCTAAAAAAGAAAATCAGCAAGTCTTTCTATGAAACCATGAATATGTTAGAATTCTAAAAGCAAAAAAAAAACTTAATCTTGATAGTAAGTTACGCGCAATTGTCTGTTAAGTTAAATTTAAAAACAAAAAAATTAAATCTACACAAATTATTCTAATTATTCTAATTATTAATATAATTATATTGCAATCGATGTTCTGTTTGCAACCATGCTACTTCTCCTTTTAGGCCTTTCAACGAAA